CACTCCATAATCTTCCCCGGCACCTAGGTACAGACTCCACCATTACTCATGCCACTAGAACTACTTGCATCATTTCATCCATCCTCCTCATATATCCCCACGCTGTGCCTTATTTTTTCACCTTGTTCAGTCTAGAGTGGTAGAGCAAACATGAACTTGTCTTTCTGCTCCATGCAGAGAATCACACCTACCAGCGACTCTTAGCTGTGCCAACACTCAACCTGCTCTTGTACCTGCAAAGTTATCTTGGGAAAATGGTAAGAAAAAGTGTATTTCCCATCTGCCTTGGGAATCTAACTTACACGATTCACAGCACAAAGGACTTTGGAGGTTCCCCTAATTCTCCTTGTTTATGGCTGCAAGATTTCTAGATAAATGTCTATGGTTAGATGCTGTGAATACCCCTGAGCCTAAAGCAGTTGCATCCTGAACCCCGAATGATCCAGCTGTACGTACGGCTTGTTTTGAGGCACTTAGGTACTTGCTGATAAGCACACTCACATTCACAAAGGTCTTTCGGTGCTGCTCTGCTAAAAGCTGCCCAAAAGTGAGGACTAAACGCAATTCATGACGTCTGTCTGAACACCCAAGTTCCCTGGACAGCAATCAGTGAGTACTCAGTGTCATCGAAATTCAATGTTCACAGGAATGAATGGGGAAACACCTAAGGTAGGTATCAAGAAAACCACAAAAGACGACTATTTTGAAATTTCATCTCTCTCGTGGACTTAATTGCTGACATACAGGCCTAGAAAGGAGACTGTTCAAAACCAGGATCCAACAGCCCTCTAACGGGTCAAGGACAGAATGGCCCCATTCCAACATCACTAGTAACGTGAAGAAATGTGTAGACTTACGCACTTTTGCAAATCTGTACCTAATCCTTTCCTGCTCAGGGGTTTGTCCAGGCCACAAAAGTATCCCAAAGCCATTTTAGAAAACTGCTTGAATAAATATTAAGGGTCAGTCAAAAAGTAATGGTTTGGACTTACTCTCTGAAGTCCCCTTGGGTACTACAGATGTGTATCTAATCTCAGGGACCATGTACATATACAATTGCATGAGTTTATAGTATGCTGGCTCTGTCACATAGTCTGGGCTTAAATAAACCTCATAAGAGAAGGAGAAAGTCCCCTATACTATAGCTTTCCTAAAGTAGTTACACTCAGTGTAAGGGTGGGAATTGACAGAGCCCTGTTTTTATAAGGCAATATCTAACTTTGAAACAGGAGAAATGAAACTTTCATTTAATATACAGTTATTTAACATCACTTTGCATTTGCACCCTCACTTACTGCACATAATTTTCCATTGCAGGCAAGCCTTTGTAATTCATAAATGATCTCACTGATGACAGAATAGTCTAATGTGTGCAAACCTAGGTTGTGGGGTTTTTTTTTTTCTTTTTTTCTTTTTTTTTTTTTTTTGCTAAACAGCCTTAGAAATGTTGTTAGACAGAGATATAAAGGCAGTTCATATGGTTCTCTGAGCGGCTTATAATTCTGCCACCATCACTGCTTCCCCAGGTTTTTGTATTGGGATTATTTTTAAATTGTACTAAAATCATTGGCATCTCCATACAATTCTCAGAAAGTGATTTGGCATTTCTTAAATTCTTTTGAGAACTCTCAACTCTACAGCCACAGATCAACGTTGTTGCTCAAACAAGTAAACTCAATACATACGTGTCTAATCCTGTCCTCGTAAGTGTCTGATTTACAATGTGGCTAATTGCATTTTCAGATTCCCAACACTCCGGGCACCAATTTCTGCTACTCCACAAAAGCAGCCAGTTTCATAATTACTCCATATTAACCCCATTGTTGGGAAATCAAATTCTCGAGGAACTTTATGGATAGCATGCTCTGTCAAGGCACTCTTGTTCAAATTGCTGCCAGCATGATGTCTTTCACTGTTAGTTGTTCCTTGATGGAATTTAATAAATATTCATTGGCAGAGTGCAGTGTAATTGATTCAGCCACTTTCATTTTCTATCAGGCCGGCAGGATGCCACAGCCTCTGCGGAAAATCCCCAAGATTTGCCAAAGGTCGACAGTAAGAAGCTTTGGAGATTCATGTGATGAAGAGAAGGGAGAGAAATAGTGTCTCTTATCGCCATGTCTAATATTCACTGTCAGGATAAAAAAAGCTATACGGTTCTTTGGATGAGCAACGTACCTTACATAATACACTTTAAAAATTCATAAATTCATAAAGTGTAATATTAAATGAAATGTTATATCAGAAAGGTTTATGATTAGAGAATATCAATTTATACTGAAAAATGCTTTCCAATAAAAATTAGGATACATTACATTAATATTTATTTCTATTTATTATACAGAAGATTTTCCACTACTCATAAATAGTGATTTACATTTACTTTTAGTATTCACCATGCTAGGCACTCGAAGCCTAATCCCTTTGAACTCTTCACAAAGGTTTTTAACTCCCCCTACAGTATCCACGCCTACACTGCGTTACATTTAGGACTACTGGAAGTCTGTTTAAGCATACATCCCATTTCTGCAGTCCTGTTCATGAAATCGGGCCTTGCACACTAGCTTTTTTGAAGAGAGGGTCAGAGTTGACTTTACATCTAATACATACATCTAATACATCTTCATTAAAAATGTGTCAAACTGCAATATGTATTAATATCAAAATGCAGTATGTACTGAACATATTTTCTGTATAAAAGTACACAATTTTCTGATATCAACAGGGACTACATATATGTAGCCTACTAGAATCAGACTTTGCATTTCATCTTATTGTTTCTTTCGGTCCCCTTTCAAATATACTTTATCTTCAGAGTTCATTTAGATAACAGCCCTGCTGCTTGAATCCAATTAGCCTGTTGGCATAACCATCACCTCGCTGATTTTCCATCTAGTTTTGTAAGAAATCTCTTAGTGGCACAAAAAGGAGCAGATAGTGCTGGGCTCTGCACCTACCAGAATGTTCTTTTGTAAGCATATAGTTTAAAAATATATATACTATAGATCCAATTCTCTGCTTGTAGACACTGATGCAAAAAAAAGTAACTGTACTGAATTAAAGAGACTGGCAAAAGTGTTAAAATCAGCCATGCTGGCAAACTGAGGCATATATTTAATTTGTTTCTTTTCGGTATCCGTTATGTCAAACTTACTTCTATCGTGAGACACTGTGAAACAAAACAGAAAGTTCTAAAAACTTATTAATTTTTTCTTTCTTTTTTTGTTGTTCACTTACTGGAATGCCAGTGAAGGTAACTGGAGGCGACTGCCAAGAGATGCTAAAGCTACTGCCATTGGGAGTGAATTTTGCTGACCCTGGAATGTTCACTGGAGGAGTGGCCTGTGTGAAAAGAAAATATTATTCCAGTAAGAAGAACCATTCCTCTTCCAAAGCATTTCAAGGGATCTTTCACTCCTTGAAACGGTAAATCTACAAAAGACTTTCCGAGGTGGAAAAAACACTTCATAGTGCTGACAGTGACAAGCATTTTACCCTTATGAGAGGGATAATCATGGATAAGCCAGTAAGGAAGGGACATATTTATATATCACTGTTCTTAAAACCTTGTTTAGAGAAAGACGATAGCTCTCACAAGAATCCACACAAAACCCTTAAAAGCCAGATCTGATAAAAAACCCACACAAAATCAAACATCATATACAAGTAACTTTTAAAATAAAAACAGCAAAATTATTACAAATTATCACCTGCTCCACAGTAATAAAGAAGGCAGTATTTGAACTGATGGCAGCTGATTTAAACAACTGGAGAGCAGCTGGCGAGGCTTCTTGGACAACAGGGTTAACGATCAACAGTAAGGGTTGGCCATTTCTTGTTTATCAGATAAACATTATTAAGAATCATCCCAATTAAAACAGTCTTTCCTATTAAAAACAAGGAGCTGAAAATCATCCTTGGGATTCAAAAAACAGCTCTTAGAAGACTCAGCTAAAGCAAATATTTGAAGGGCCCCTTGGCCCCTTGAACTCTTACGTTTTTCCCATCTGGGCTGTAATACCCACTGCTGCCCTGGGGTGCAACACCCGATAATCTGAGCTCAGACCATTGAGCCTCTTTCATCTTGTGCCTTCCCTCTGGTTTTCTCACTGGGCTATGAGCCCTCAGGAATTCTTTCCTGCCCCTTTTTGAATCCCATTTAATTTACAGAGTCAGGAAGTTCACACCTTTGCAGTTACCCTGCCTAGCAGGAACGTGAGCAGCCACCATGAACACAGGCTCCCTTTGACTCTCGAATTTCAAGCTTTCACCACAAAAAAAACGCTCCTTGGTTTAAACTTATAAAGAACTTGCTATTAAAAATGAGCTTTTACTTCTGCCTTTCAGTTGCCCACACCTGACAATAACGCAGTAACACTTATTTAAGTAGTGTTTGTGTTTGAGGCTGCTGAAGGTGTCTCACCGCTTCAGGAAAGAGCGCTTCCCTGAGCTGCCAGGCAGAGAGGAGTGACGATAAACTACAACCTGACAGTCCCCATTAAAGATAATCTTCAGAGTAAACAAGTGCTGAACCAATCCCCGGGAGTCTCTCCAAGGAAAAGAAACCGAGACCACCGGATGCCTCCGTCTACAACAGCGATGCTCTGCGGGCTGCCGAGCCTGCTGACAGCTCCAAAAGAATCCACACAGGCACGTGGAGCAAACACCCACTGAGCTCCATAAAATACAAAAACCTCGCTGAAAGGCATCAAGAAAAATTTGGCAATTCCAGATGGTACCAGTAGTGCTTCATCACAACCCTGTTCAAACGGGAAGGGGTGAATGACCACGGCACTCCTGCGAAAGAACTGGAGGCAGCTGGGTAGGAGCGAGGCGGCACTGCCTCCACTCAGCATGCCACCGGGAGGGATATCAGCTCAAAGCTGGGTCACAGCACGGCGACTTCCTCAGGTATTCAAATAAGACCCACAAGGGAAATCCTAGATGCTGAAAGAGCCTGCCTGTAGTTCCTCTGTAGCTAAATTTAACAGGTACAGGCGCTAGTTTCGTAACAAAATGTGAAGTATGAGAAGTTTAAAATTGCTGTAATTTGCAGTTGCCTAAAATACCATGGCGCTCAATTCTTTTTTCTCAGTGCCTAAATATCTACCTCAGACATGAACAGATTTAGACAGTCAATCACCTTGTTCATTTGTTTCCCTGAAGTGCATCTTTGCTCATCAAGCACATTCACCTTTTTCAGGCAAACATTTTAGAAATCTCTTCCATACGGTAATGTCCTGGTTTCGTCTGGGATAGAGTTAAAACGATTTAATGAAAACAGGCCCAAATACAGCTTTTCATTCAACTCCACTAATAACATTCAATAGCCCTTTCAAAATAACTCACTGCTGTTCTCCCTGACTCCCCAGTTCTCTCTCCTACACTAAATTTAATTTCTAGCCTAAGAAATACTGCCTATATGTTTTAAGATCAAATGTTCTCCTCGAATCCAGAGGAATTTGTTATTCCGTACTGCTTCTTTGCTGTTTACAAAGCTACCTTCTCCAAGGAAGATGTTAGACTGTTCTAGCATAATCTTTCTTTGGGGTTCCTCCATTGCAGTTCATCTCATTTGCTGTACTTTCCACAATTTCTTCAATTATTTTTCTAAATCTTTCCTCATCCATAGGACCGGGTCAGAGAAAAGAGTCGGGACTTGCCTGATCACTTCCCCCTGACTCCTTTCTTACTACAGGTATTATATTTGCCATTTTCCAGTCATATGGGAAATGGCAATTAACAGATCTGTTTAGGATTCCTGTGATCCAGCTTTGGGTTCCCTATTTTTCTCCCTTTTTTAACAGAATCCTGAGATGAACATTATTCAGCCTCCCTTATCTGAGTTCCTTGAGCTGTGAATTTTGCCTCTTCACTAACAATGAAGTAATTTCCACTTTCATGCTCTCATTCACATGAGAGATTGTTTTCATCACTACATTCCCATTCAATACTTCGTTGCAGTTTTGATACAGATAATATTTTTATCAGAAGTAAAAAAAGTTTTGAAATTCTGTATATGGCAAACTGCAGGAAATATGGTGGTATTAAAGATGCTGTAGTCACCTTCCCTTCTACACCTTTTTATGGAAGAGATTAGTGACAAGATGCTTAAATGCTACGAGTGAAAGCTGGGCTCAATTCCTCCTCTTGCTGGTGAGAGTTGAATCTCCACCTTACCTCCTGGAGAGTGCTCTTCTTCCTGGGCTAGAGGGACTCTAGCACAGGATGCCACTGACCTGCTCTGCAGAAGCTGCCTCCTTTGCAAGGACAACCTGAATGCTTGAGCAGGGACCCTGCC